AGAAATAAACGCTTTGCCAATTCTAATGAAATTTACCTTCACGATTTCGAAACACAGGCTAAAATGCATGCTCCCGCGGCGAAAATTGTCCCGTTGCAGCATTTCAAAATGTATTTGTCCAAAATGCGTTGTTTCAGGAGCCCCGTGTAAATGTAACACCCACTGACACAGTCTGGTATTCGTGAAAATAAATTGGGATCTATGATGAAAGAGATTTCGATAGCAGCAAAATTGTTGAAACCAGACACATTATGTATTTCACGGCACATACAAACGAAGCTAGTGTTCGGTCTTACACCAACAAACTCACAAATAGTCAGAGTCAAGGAATGTCCAGTATTCTGTCTCGCAGTTTTTGGGTATAAAAACAAATCCTCTGATAGAGAATTGACCGCAGCGATCGAAGCGAGTGTTTCCGACAACGTCATCTGTACCCCTAAAAACACTGGCATAGTAGCGTCTGGACCAACTCCCGCAGAATCTAAGACCGCTTCTATTTCTAATACCCACAATCAAAGTACACATGCAGCATCTGCTTTGTTCCATAACTGCACCTTTAGTGAACCAATTAATGTCAGCATAACAAACACAAAATAGAAAATTTGACAACGATAATAAGTCCACAGCACTTGCTGCAGTTTAGCAGCTCTTATTGGCCGCTTAAGCTATTTTGATATTACGTTGGTATGTCGTGAATTGTGCAATATCTCGTGATATACCCGCCTCCGGCGGTGGTTTATTGCTTAAATAAATTATGTTATATAATGTATGATATCTGTTTGTGCACCATTAATCTGGAAAATTATCAAGATTATTTTTTAATAAGAAATTCCGTTAAACCTGCACGTTAAATAGCGATGGTCGTCGCGCCGCGTCCTGTTCGATATGGGACTCATAGCGACGTATACAACGCGTGTAAAATACATTGTTTGTTTACATGAAATCGGACACGCACTGCGCGACAGCCACCGCTCTTTAATATTGTCTTGCAGTCTGTTAAATTGTTTTTCTGTACTAATTTCACGCCTGATTAGAATTTGAAGTGTTATATATTCTAGCCATGAATATAGTGGGATTAATGAAGGATATCTATCGAGTGTCTCATGATCAGGTTTTGGAAATGAGTGTAGTAATTATCGCACGACTTTAATAAGTCTAATATCATGGGTCACAAATTTTGAGATTTTGTCTATCGCATGTTTGTTCTAGTGTTGTTACGCATTGTATATGTTTGTTACAATCTGTATCGTCGATGCATCTAAACTCGTTTGCGTGCATTGATTCTATATTCAGGTTCTAGTGAGCTGTCACTGACACAAGAAGAGATGCATAAAATGGTTGAATGGCACTTAACATTGCATTTGATAAGATATAACAATGTATAGCAAATTATTATTTCATTTTCGTGTTATCTTTACTTGATTTATCTAGACGAACTTACCATCAATGACACAACAGAGAGCATGGATTCAGCTTCCTACTGTCATATGTTCTTCCAAATTAAACCTTTTTCAAGTAACAAACATGTAAGCCATATGACGATTATCGAGTAAGACATTATAGTACACTAGCTGCAAAGTTAGTTAAAGCGGGACCAATCATGATGGGTGTAACTAGTCACCAAGGTATGCTTATTTATCCGAATACTGGTACCTCCTCTGAAATGTCATTGATTTACACACCTCCTATTGTGTCACGGCTATTTACCCCTTTCTATAACCCCACGCTGCGCAGACTTGGATTAAATAGTAATAAATTCCAAATCGTAAATTTCAAAGCACAAATGACGGTTTATTGATGCCTACCTCAGCATTAGATCTTAGAGATCAGTTGTTTTATCTATTCCTGTTCAGTTCTACCTTATTGCTCCAGGAACTGCATATACGGCTGTTCTAAAAAGTGAGGTGAACGATCACTTTGTATGTCCCTTTTAAATCATTGAGCATTGTACCCCAGTGCCGCCAGAGTCAAATCACACTTTCTTGCAAAACAATCTGCAGTTTGCAATCTAGGTGCTTTCAAAGGAATCCCTGCTCGTTTGAGCCTATGCAAAGTGGGTCTGCTGGATGCAGTCTCACTGGCACTATGTTCTATGAAAACCAGTACAGATGGCAGTAGAGATGTAACGTGTTTGCATTTTTTTTCCAGCATCAGAGAATAGCTTTTTTTATCACATATGAAATCATCAGTCTATACTGACTGTGTGGCTCACACCATAACATGGTATCCCGTGACTGGTACTAGTATGACCCACATAATGGTGCTCATGTGAATCCATATATTCCCCAACTTGTTTTTTCGATTTGTTTACTCCAATTTCAGGCCGCATATCATAGCATCTATTAACAAAACGTAGTAATATACGCATGAACAAAATCAACACATATTAAGAAGAGATACCACGTGACTTCATGGCAATATCTTGAGGTTTATATGATTCCATCAATGGTTTATGCTAAAGACAAATCAAAAACAACGTTTTGTGATTTTTTCGCTGTGATTTTTATAACAAAAAATGCACATAATTGTTACTGTACTCATGAAACTGAAACAATCTAAAACGAGATCGTATTTATTGAACCAGTAAACAATGTTGTGTATAATTTGCAACACCACCATTTATGGAAGATTAATGTATAACATAGTAGTACCTGACGGCTTGCATCCCTTCTCCTCTATTATTGTGTCACTGTTCCAGTAGCTTATAGTGGCTGATCCAGAGGGGGCAGGGGGCCATGCCCCCCCAAAAAAAACGCATGACGATTAATATCATCTGGATTAGGCATAGCTTCTCTGCGATTTACGCTCCGTATATCTTAAGCGAAGCTTGGACCGCCACTGGTAGCTTAAGTTCCCATGTAATGGCTGTATGTGAATTTTTCCACGTGTTCTTCCAGCAATCACCGAGATACATTATGGCGGTATATAAATATGGCAAAGTTCATGAATATTAGGTTTAATATCTGGGATTAGTTAATATATGTCGTTCCTGTAGGATCTTGGGTTGGATTTGACAATTTGTACCCTATTACATTGCATTCTACATGGGTTCAATCGAGTTCAGAGATCAGGTATACCGCATAATATTCAACAATGAAATTGAATAAAAAAAATGCTATTTTATAAATACAATGCTAGACAACTTATTTGAAGTTTATTTCTTTTATAGAAAAAGTCTTAAATTTTACTCAATCATCTTGCGATGGTAATTTTAGACCAATCTTTGACAGGGTTGTATATTGCGAGTCACTCAAAGTTCTGCTCTGTGCTTGGTCATGTAGTAACCAGAACCCACACTAGAGACTGAAAAGTTGTTTCGACGTCTTTATATTTTGGAACCTCTTTACACTGGGTTATTGTGACCATAACAACAATTAGTCACAAATTTAATCGTACGGTTTTATTGAATTGTTCATGCCAAATGTTACGCAATGAATGAGTACTAGCGGTGTATCGGTCCCCTTATTCCAATATACACGTCCAATACTTTTATTTATGAATTCTCTTCACATTTAGATTTGTTTGTTTTTTAATACGAATAATAATTGTGATTTGTGTGCGGCGTTCGACTTGGATTTGGAGATTTTGTTAGAAGGGTTAGGATGTTGTTGTTTTATTTCAGATTGGTTCAGTTCACATCTAACCAATACGTATCGTAGCTCGTTTTGAGGACATTAGAAATTGTATGTATAGTAACAACTTAAAGCCTCATTCTTCAAAAACATTTATGGTTATTTATTGTAATAATTCAACTTAACAAAATAAGTCTGAGCTCAGTTGGATAACCATGTCTGTCTTGTGAGTAAATCTTCATTTTATCACCTATGTAGCATCTTCTATTAATTCTAGGGACGACATGATGTGTAAACATATCACACCAATGATTTGTTTGCATCGGCTTTCAATGAAATATCGCGTGGAGTTTATGATTGTGATGACTTTAAAACCCTTGGACGTAAAACACAGAAATACATTTGTGAAATGATGACTCCATATGTGCCATTTTTGTCTGGTTTGTAATATATTGTAGCTAGAACGTTGGGTGATTAATTTCATATTGGTTTTCCTGTCTATTATGATTATTCGTGTCTCTGGATTTCCTATTTCAGTAGCTATATGCATTTTATCCAATCCGTGCTTACAAGATGGTTGCAATAGTTGTACGAGGTTCTGAGAACTCCAGGGGTAACTGTACGTTGTAATGGTATTATATGTATTTGGCTCTAACCATGAATTAATTTCACAAGTTGAATTCAACGGAATTGATCTGAATTAAAGAAATACAAATATATGGTAGTGTTTTAGGACATGACTTAAACTATTGAAGACTTTTACTTCACCGCTGTTCATTAATTCCCACAAATGACCCGTTCATACGTCACATGTCTGACGAGAAGGTATGGTATGACGTAGTATTGTTTGTTTGTGAGGGAACTAGTGAAATATATAGGGAAAACTATCCCCAATACATTCACATAGAATGTATCCATCAGAGAGACATACAATTTATAGGCGTCACATACTATAATACCAGTTAATTAGACTCTCGTTGAAATATTGTTTTATATGCGTCGGTGCAGATGTATGTGACGATAGATAGATTGGAAATTGTGAAAATAACATTGCCAACCATAATGCAATATAAGATTTACGTATTAATAATATAAACAATTACAACATGATCCAAATATATAGTACAAATAAAATGAAATATATCAAATAAAATTAAATACACGGTCTACAATACACCAGGTTTTAATCCAATGTCATGTGCCTTGCCAAATGTGTCTTGGATGACGATACCAATCTGGTTTTCCTGATATATCTGATTCTAGAAAAGGAGTCAGTTTCATTCAATATGTGTCTTCTTTAGAATGGGAGTCCATTGCCATTACGGGTAAATAAAATATGAAGACCGCCGTCATAACGATTAAAGCAAATAAGTATATAGATAGATATGCTCTGTCGAGTATTCGAGCAACTTCACGCCATTCACACACTCTTCGGTGTTGTTCTTCTCTGTCATTTTTGTTAGCATTTGTATTCTGTGTTGATGGCAGTGACATGCTCTCCACCGTGGGTTCGTACACCATCTTGTGATTATTGATATTGCCGTTATCGGCTACCTCTACATGATTCGAATATGCACTTGATTGTCGCTCCCCTTGTTTCGGAGACACCCTTGGCCGTGTACAGCCAATCCGCGAGAGAAAATTGAAGGCGAATATCTTCAACCCAACTGGAACTTTCCGACATCCTGGATTTCGGAAGTGCATGTTTAGCGATGAAGATATTAAAAATGCAGATGCTACTCCCATCGAAATCAAACAGAATAAATACATTTCTGTTGAGAGAGATAAACATAATGTCAGTTGTTAATAAACCTATTGTTGTTTGTGCTAAGGATAAAGGCCTCATCGATCAGATGTAGAAAATATCGTCTAAAATGATCAATAACGAATTGTAAAAAATCCTGGAGGGAGATGTTCTATTATCAGCACATTTCCATAAATATATTACGATATAACGATTAACACAATGCTGACAATGTGAAGTTCGTCTTATAATTCCCATTCTTAACTGTATTGTGTAATCTGAATAGAGTTCTATTTTTGTAATGGTATATTAATGCAAGAATGTTGAAATCCTATTTTGACACCGTTCCTAAAATTTGAAATATTCTATGTAATATCGGGACATGTATTTAAGCATTGTAATGTGGTTTTCATCGCCGCTCGCGCATGCTTAAAATTATTATTATATACTAATACTCGATACTCTCAGTTAGTACGACAGATAGTAAGATATAACTAACATATACTTACGTATATGTGGAATGATATCGGCCGTTGGTGGCATGTATGCTGACACGATAGTAAGAAACACGATCTGGGAAAGAATACTAGTAACACACAGAGTAATTCGTTCCCCTGAGTCAGACGGTAAGTAGAAGCCCACACACATCATAATACTCGCAAGGAATGATGGGAGGATTATGTTTATGACATAGAAGTTGGATCGACGTTTGAAGTGGAGCGTATACGTCACATCCGGGAAGGGCTCGTCACAGCAGACATAGTGAGCAACATTGCGTTTCACTTCCATTTTTTCTATTGTCCATTCTCCATTGCTAATAAATCGGTCAATGTTACTCTTGTTACTGGGGATGATATCTATGTACCCACCGTGATAGCTCCACGATGCAAACTTCATTTGACAGTTTTGTTCGTCAAATGGAAAGAACGTTGCGTCAATAGAGCATGTTGATTGGACGACGGAGAATTGTAAAGACACCACCTTCCCGTCATAGGAGACAATCGCGTCAGTATCAAAATGGCGATTGAACAGTTCGCCGGTGCTGGTAAAAAAAAAATAAAACAATAATTATTTAATTATGTATTCCAAAAAACGCACGCAAATTGTTCACACATGACAATTTGTCCACACTGCAACTTACCTAGAAAACAATACCACATCCGGTTGCCATATTTTAGAGATATGTATCTGTATTTCTTTAATACCACCAAAATCGTCAGGATCCCATGTCAAATATTCATCTGTCCACGTCTAAAATCGGAATAGATGAACAATCATAGTCCAGTTATTCATAACCACACAACAGTCGAAATATATATATATATATATATATATATATATATATATATATATATATATATATATATATATACGTGTGCAACTTCCAGAATTTAAATGCAGTGGGTTGGAAGCATATTGTACTTGTTTTTTGTTTTGTTTTGTTTTGTTTTGTTTTGTTTTGTTTTGTTTTGTTTTGTTTT